TCTGTCCCCTTCCCATGAGCAATAAAGAGATTGACAATTCAACAAGTGTTTGTGTTTTCCAAGTACTTTACTAACTTGTAAGTTACTAACACATTTTAAATTTCACAGGCTTTCACCTTATTTTCTCTCAGGATTTTTAGGCACACCATAATAAAATATTGAGAAATGTTATCAGTCACAGAACAGAGTAGGACATGGACGAAAAGGAGTAAGTGTCAAGGACAGAAACCCCTCATCTGAATCTGGAAGCATGCACACATGGCTGGGTAGCTGAATCTGGGGGTGTACACATAAGGCTAGGCATCAGACACACCATACAATGCTGAGGCCAGCATGCTTTTCACTCGCCTTTAGCTATCACCACATTTTTTTAATTAAATTTTCTGAGAGTTATTTAATTTTTATATTATGTATATGAGTGTTTTGTCTGTGTGTACGTTGGTGAGGCATGTGCACACAGTGCCCTCAGAAGCCAAAAAAAGGTGCTGGATCCCCTAGAACTGGAGTTACACATTTTTAGCTACCATGTGGGTGACGAGAATCAAACTGTGAAAGGGCAGTTACAGGCTTCACCTGCTGAGCCGTCCCTCAAGCCCCATCACTGTGTTTTAAAGGAGTCTCAAACATTTAGAATCACTAAACAAAGACTCAGAGAAGGCACCTCTGTATTCACTGAGTCCAAGTGGGACCCTAGCTGGGACAAACTCCAGACTTGGGAAGAAAATCCACAAAAGCCATGAAGCTTCAGTCATTAGACTGTTAGAATCATTCTGGAAACAGGACACTAATCTAAGAAGCAAATTCAAACAGTGCATTTATTTTTAAATAATGTGTCTGCAGATATACTGAGGTAAATATAAAACACATATAAGGGCATATAGATATGTTTATACATAAGCAGATATCTTTAATTTTCCCGAAAATCATAAAGCACTCTGAATAAAGAGTTTTCTATAATATGTGCAAGCATTTTCATTCTTACCTCGCACTAACTTACAAGGCAATGTAATCCCAAGAAAAAGTTCCCAAAAAGGACCCCTCTGATAAGAGTTTCAGAAGAATAGATATATCAGAAAACCAAAAACAGTTTTTGAAGTATACAGGAGAACTGGAGGTGCCACTGTGAGGTGTGCTATGGCACCACAGGGCTGAAGATGCCAATGAAATATGCAGACATAGCCAAGGGAAGTCCAACGCAGGCATGACCTTAGTTCAGAGAGAGGAAAGTTATTCCAAAACCCTGCTGTGAGATCAATTCACAAGTCCTGAAAATAACAATCTTAGATCTCTAACTCAGACTGTGCTCCAAATTAAATTCTGTTGTGAAATGGAAGGAGGAAAAAAAGCAGCAAAGTCACTTCAGGAACCGCAGGCAGTGTACCTGCGCAGGGCTCACTTGCCTCTCGAGATCTGCTGTCACTTTTCTTTACGATCTGTCTGTTAAGTGGCTCCAGATGACCTGGCTTCTCTTTGAATTTTGTCAGTGGGCAAGAAGACAGAGTAATCCACTTAAAAACAACAACAACAACAACAACAAGAAAAAAACAAAGACTAACCACAGCTTGTATCAATAGTATTGGGAGAAAGAATGGCAATTCTAAGAAGAATATGGATAAGTTGCACAGACTGTCCCAGCTCAAGCCAAAAAAAAAAAAAAAAAAAAGAGGGTAAAACTCTGTTCACTCGAAATGACTGTGAGACATTCAGAACACAGTACAGGATCACACTGACAATAACAGCATAGGAAGGCACAGCACAAGACATGCTGGAGGTGGGGGGTGGGCAAAGCACTTCAGGCACACTATGAGCTAACAGAGTTCCCAACTCAACCCCTCTGTAGAGGCCAACTCCAGCCCCTGTGGAAGTCCACTAAGTGACAACTCTCAACTGGCACATCACCAAGGCTCCAAGGGCTCAGAGGCTGGAACTAGCAATTCCCTTAATATGGGCACAGGACAACTGAGGCCAGTGGATGCTCCAGCAGAACCCAAAAGGTTTACTCTCAAGAGAAGTGATTGCAGTGTCCAGAACTGCAGAGGACGCTGATGGCTGAGTAATAGCAGGAGGGAGCATGTTGGCAGTGGGCATGAACAACCACTGTGAAGTACCCTTTAGACTAAGAAGGCTCTAGAAACCACCATTAAGATAACAGATTCTTCTATATCAGCTCCTTTCCTTTTTAGCCTGAACAAAAATTAATTCATAGGACTAAGTGATTTCTTAAGCCTCCCAAAAGAATGCTGATTAGGAAAAATCAATAAAGAGGCAGAGAGCATCACAGGGAGGAGTAGGGGGAACCCATGATGGAAAAGTTAGGCTTTATATGGAATGACCACCTATCTCAAGAGCACAGAATTCCAACAGTACATGTGAAATAGAAATACTGAAATCTTACTCTCTTGTTTCTTTACATCAGTGACTAATAAAGTCTGGCAAGAATAAAGTACACCAAAGATATAAAAGCTCAAGACTTCAGCTACCTTGAATTGCCTTTAATCAGACCTCTGTCTCTAAGTTCCCTAGAGACTGGCTGTTTCAGTATGTTTCTCCAGGGGCAGGGAAGCCAATGGAGGGTCCACAAAATGTGGTCAATTACACATCAAATTCTTCTGAGATTTCACTTTATTCAACAACAGAGCTTAAGATAGGCATGGTGTGTGTGTGTGTGTGTGTGTGTGTGTGTGTGTGTGTGTGTGTGTGTTTGTTTGTGAACGTATGAACAATTATCAGTGAGGTACAAAATGTGTGGGTTATCTTTTTCTTCTATGGAAACCACATCTCCTAAAATACATCAGTACTAGAAGATTCCCAGGCAGCCAAGCACCAGACACAGAAACAGAGTAGTGCCAAAGTACTACCACTGAAGGCTTCCTGGGAGTGCATAGCCAGCCTGCTGTCGTATTACTCCACCCAAAGAATTATCATTATTACCTCTTTCATCTGTCCCCTTCTCCCCAGGTCATTTAAGGTCATTAAGGTCTGGCAACACGTGTCAGAAAGACCAGGAACTACTGTCAAGGTTAACTGGGATGGATGCTCCTGTGAGCTTACAGAAGTGAAAGACAAAGGAATAACACAAAGCAAAGACTAAGGAGCAATTCAAAATTGGACTAGACCAGATTCAAGATGCACATATGACATTTCTTTCCTTCTCTACTCAGCAAATGCCCATCACAACGAGGAAGGTTGCCATGCTATACTAATTAGAACAAGACTAAAAATCTCTAACTTAGGAATTAGGACTCATTGCACTCTTTGTTTTGTTAGTTAAGGCAAATTTCAGGTCATTTAATTGCTCACTCTGGACTACAGTAAGCAAATAACTTGGTGGGTGGGTCAATATTGTGATCATATATAGCATTACAATTTTTGGTGTGTGCTAGAACACTGAAATGGCTGTACATATTTTCACTAAGGATGAAGTATTTTTCATCCTGTAAGAAAAGCAATACAGAAAAATAACATAATATGAAGTAGTTACTGTCCCAGAAAAATCACAAGTTTGTGGTTGGTATGTGGAGGCTACAGACTACCTCCAGTCTCCCTTGCCAATGTGTATATTCTTAACTACTAATACTTGATATTACAAAACAAAACCAAAACAAAACAAAACAAAAAGCCTACTGAACCAACTAAACTTTGAGTCATTTACAAAAACAAGTATTTTTCTATAATTATGTAAACTTCACTTAATATGCATGTTTATCAACAGCAAAAAAAAAGCCACATATAAAAGAAGAATAAAGGGAGAGCTTTCCTTCAGCTTCTGAAGATTCACTGCAGTGAACTGCTAACATGGGTAGAATGGGAACAGACACAAAAGTGAGGCACATGGAGGAAGTCAGGAAGTCATGAGATTTAGCAACGAAGATTCCCCTGTCTTATGAGGAAGACAGAAAATAGAAAATGCAAAGTCCTTGGGTTCACAGAACAAACAAAAGATTGGAAATGAGTCTTTTCTACAGGAGAACTTTTCCCCCTGAATACTGACCAGGACTGAAATGGAAAACGGTGGCATTTTTGCAGAAGCCTGTCTAGCTGCATCATGGACTTCAGCTTTCTTTTCCTTCCTACCACATGACTTTAGTTAAGTGAAAACTCAGCAGAGACCAGCGATGACTGGTTTCTCAGAAAGCTGCTTTTAGCACCTGCCAATTTCTAGGTAGTCCTCTAAATAAAATAAAAGCAATGTCACCCTATTTTGGAGTGACAGTCCCTAGGTATGACAGATAAGTCTCCAAATATCAGAAAGAAAGTAAAGAGGTTTCAATAAAAACCAACCCCCTCCCCCTACCATACACACACACACACACACTCACACACACACACACACAATTAAAATATATTCATGTCTAGTTCTACTTGTTTTTTTTTTTTTTTAATTTTCATGTGAACTTTTTGTTTAAAGAGTGAAATATCTAGAGTCCTATTCCATTTGAATAGATTCAAGTTGAGTTCCTGGGAAGTTGTCCAGAGAGTTAGATTGCTTTAAAATTGGACATGCGTTAAATGAAGCTTTGTCTAGCAAAAGTGAGCAAGTAACTGATATGGCATCTGTATGTTCAGTCCGCACAAGGTTCCTTTATCTGGGAAGCATTACTCAGAGACAAACAGCACATCAGATTACAGTCCTGGAGAATCACACTCGCCTCCTCTACTGATGCTGCCAGTTCACACAAACATTATATGTGCATTAACCACCTGCTTCCAGAAGAATTTGTAATCTACCTGCTCCATTCCGCTCCCCAAAGGCTCTCCTACTTGACACGTGTGCCCCCTCTCATTCACTCAGCTGCAGTCACCTTTCAGCCCTAAGAGGTTCACTCGGAGTAAATGTGCAAAGTGGTGAGCTTTAATACCAGTTGCAAAAACAGAAGAAGCCTTCTGCGTTACAATGTGTAATGAAACCAGACCCCCACTTCTGAGAGTTCTCTGGACTTGCACCAAAAGCCATTGCAGGAAGAGGTTGGTTCCTGGGTGCCAGGTTCCTTTCACATTACCTGCTTCAGTGTACTTCAGTCCCACTTTTTCTTCTGTGTCTTTTGTCTTTGGGGGTGGCCAGACAGCTTGGAGTCTGCCAGGAGTCCTGTCGTCCTGCTCTGTGGGGCTCTGGTCCGGCTGTGCAAAACAGGTACAGAATAATTTAAGTGGAGTGTGGCCAGAGCACATTGATTCTTGAAAACACACATTCTAACACTAATTCTAATATCGATTTAACATCCAGTGGCACGTTGCTCCCATTACTTGCAATTGAGCCGTCTCAGTACAGTATGAAACTTTTTCCAGAAGGGTAAGGGATCAGTTGGGGTAAAAACTAAAGCAAACGAAACAAAAATCAATCAATCAATCAATCAAACAAACAAACGCAAAACCCTTAAGACTACCTAACATGCAACCCTTTATGTATTATTTTTGTTATTCAGCTTTTTAAAGGGCGCCAGTAATTTTTGAACTGCAGAAACATAAACAAATGCATTATCATCTGGCACATTTACAGGAATATTTACAAACGTGCTCCAAACAAACTGCACTATTTACATTAAGGACTAAGTTTGCATTCTCCGAGAACATTAGCAATAATTGAAGACACACTTCTCTAAGCATTCCACACTAATTTTAATTCTTTCCTATTACAAAATAAAAGAGATCGATTCCATGTTCAAGTTTTATTTGTTTGTCTGTTTGTTTGTTTAAATAGAAGTTGTATTTTGCAACTATAATGCTATGGTGTGTTTAGATTTAACAACTTATGATAATTTTCTAGAGACTTTAATTTTAATAGCTCAATTGAATATACAAGCAGACATGATAATCCTATACTGAACTGATGTTTAACAAGAAATTTTACCCATTGTTCCCATGAACTTTCAATGCCAAATATTCCCTGGTCATTATAAATTAACTTTCTTTGAATAATTACATCTTTTATTAGCTAGAGTATCTTGTGCTCTGATTTTATTTATTCTTTCCATAAGGGTGAGGGCTAGGTTCCTCTTTTTGTATATGGGGAGACAGGCTCAGATATTATCAAGGTCACCTTGCCATAAATGGCAGAGTTGGGATTAAAAACCTGCCCTCATTTTAAATTTAGTACTCAGCCAAGAAACCACATAAACAACACAGAACATTTCAGTAACATCATAAATACATATTTTGCTAAATGGCACACTTTCAAAGGAGAGCCTTGTGTTCACAGGAGGATAATTGAATGGTGAGAAAATCCCTATAAATTTGGGCTATACTTGCACATCACATCACTTCCCCATGTTGCTAACGTTTTATAAGCACAATGACCATTGATGTTTAAACTCAGGGTGCACATTTTCCCTTCCTTCCCACACATCCTTACACAGATAACAATTACATTCAAGAAAAACAGAAGAAATAGATGTACTTCTGTCCCACTTGGTACTCTTTTGCAAGATAAATTTAATATCATAATTGCACTTTTTTACCAAAAAAAAAAGTAAAATACTAATAAAGACTGGCAACTAGGATTCATTTTAACAGGAAACCTGGAAAGAAAAAAAAATTGCAGCATTATATGTTATGTCAAAATGCAGAACCCAATTCTACATACGCTTTTGGGATCAGAGGGGCTGTCTGCTGGCCTTGACTTGGACCTTTCGAACACAGCGCGGAGTGATTCCTTCTCGTGTCTCATCTTCCGCTTAAGAGCTTCCAGCTCGGAGGTGTCAGCTGTGGTCCCCTTTTTAGGGGGACGGATGAATAAGGCCTTAAAGGCCTCCAGGGCAGTCTCTGGTGGCTTTGCCTTCACCTGGCCACCTTGGACTTGGGCATCTCCAGAACACTTCTGGCTCTCCTGGTCAGTACTATAGCCCATCTCGTCGGCTCCAGGGAACTCAGGGTCGGCTTCCTTCACTTCGGTTCTTGGCATGTCAATGTTCAGTAGCTGAGATAGCTGCTCCAGGAGAGTGGGAGTGGCCTTCAAATCGGTTGTTCTACCCTGGCTCTTCACTGTCTGCTGGCCTCCCTGCACCAGGGATTTATGAACAGGCTGGGTCAGCTTGAGCAAAGCCAAGTCTCCGTCCTTGGGTTTGATTTCAGTAATGGTCTCCCCTGCCTCCGCTGTAGCCCCCTTCTTCAGCACACGGAGCCCACTAAAGAAAGCTGGAAGCTGGAACGACTTCTTTCCTCCGGGAGCTTCTCTCTCTCTTTTAGAAACAGTATTCTCGGTGACACCAGCAGTCTGGTCTGATGTTGCGGGTGGGATTTGGGGCCTTTCTTCTGCAGCCTGGCCCTGCCCGTGGCTGTGCTCCGCCGGGTGGCTACCATCACTGCCAGGGTCCAGTTTGCTACTTGTCTCAGGTAAAGTTCTCTTAGAATCATCACGGAGTTCTGCATCATCAGTTTCCCCAGTGTCGTCAGAATCTCCCGGTCTTTCTTTGGGCTCCTGACATGGTTCAGATGAAACAACGGTGGTCGACTCCTGGGTATCAAGGCCACTTCTTTCTTCTGCCTCTTGGCCTCCATCTTCAGAGTCAGAATCACTGGTGGTGTGAACCAGGGTCCCACGGACCCAAATGACATCCTCACCATCCACACTCACAGTGGCAGGTGAACGCAGCTCATGACCAGGGGAAGAGGTGCCTGATCTGGCTTTCCCCTGATTTCCCTCCGATCCTGTCTCCGCCCTTGCGGACTTCCCATCATTTTCAAGATCAGGTGGAACTGGAGCCTCTGGCTGTGGCTGATCTGAGCCTTTGCTGGGATCCACCTCTAAACTGCGAAATGACTTCAGCACAGCATCTTCCTCTTCAGGATCCAAGGAATCCAATTTACTTGTAAATCCAAACAGTGATTTCATAGAGAATTTACTCAGGATCGACTGAGCCATCTCTAGCCCGGCTTCGGATTTGTCGGGTTCCAGCACATCTCCGCTGTTGAGAGAGTTACCAACCTCCTCCATGTCCCCGCAGTGCCCTTGACAGAAGTTCTGCCTTGTGTTACCTGCCCTGCTCGCTCAGTTTATCCGCTCCATCTGCTCTTGACTTACAGGACAGGGAGCTACAGGACCGGGGAGAGAGCCAGGCTTTCAGCAGCTCAGAAAACACACTTGGTCTCTTTCAGGTCACAGAGCCCTCCCTTCCGGTTTGTTCGATGCCGGCGTGCCCAGGGCAACTTGCTAAGTCTGGGCAACTCTATGCCCCAACGCAGCTGGGGCCGCACACCTTACTACACATGGGCAGGCAGGCTGCTCTTCTGGACTTCCGTATTTACTCCCCAGGACAAAAGGCGTTTTGTGGCAGGCAAAGTCAGCCTGTCCCGTAATCCCAGCCCAGGACTTCAGGAGGAGCTCCGCCCCGTGCCTACGATCCTCCTGGTCGCATTCAACTTCCTCATTGGTGAGCAAGTTGAGGTTCCTAAAAGTGCTGAGCTGGCAAGCTGGTCCTGACAGCCCTGAACCACCCCCTGGTGCAGCCCAAGAGATTCCAAAGTGAATCAGCAGAAAATGACCAAAGGACTTCAGAAGTGAGCCCTCTTTTCCATCCTGATCTTAATCAGAGGCCTGGGCCAGCCAGGTCCCAAACCCAGCATTTCGCCTACATCAACAGCCTCCTGCAAACCCCTAATCAAAGACAGGAAGTAAAGAAAAAGATCCTCTCAAAGTGCCCAGAACTCTCAGAGCAGTTAATTTACTACCCTTGGAATGTCTTTTTGTTTTTAAATGCTTTCCTCCAGCTAGCCGGCAGGTTTCATCTGGAATGCAGATTTTCTCTGACTGCTGGGAAGGAAAACCAACTAGACTGGTTTCAGATTACGGCTGTTTTAGCTCTGCCCTGCCTGGGTGTTCTGCAAACAGGTACTTAGACAAGCACGCCCACCACGCCCAGAGTCCACCTACTGTAGAGCAGCAGAATAAACAGCCCCAGCCAAGTACCAGTGCTTACTGTCCGGATTATGGGCCAACCTTAGGTCTCTTTCTGTTCAGCAGCAATGACTCCCTCAGTGAGTTACAAATCCTGGTGGCAGAAGAGATTCCTTTCTGCTTTGGTGTTGCAACCAAATAAATGGACCCGGCGTGGCCCGATTTTGGCATACAACTTGCCTTCTTGGTCAAAGTCATTCACCAAAGATTCCCACAAATCTTTATTTCTCTAATGGTCTAAAATATGTATCAGTTTTGGTCTCCACTGCCCATTTTGTGCAAAGAAGCAAAAACAAAGAAACCCAGCACAGATAGGTTAAAATGCCATTTTGATTATATGCTGTAGACCTAGAAATCTGAGGATATAGGGGTAAGGAAATCATAGCTACTTAGTTACCTCTTGGGACAGCTTCCTGTCAAACCCTGTCTGAGGAATTCTGCTTGCAATAATGCATTTTAACAATGTATGATTGCACAAACGGAAAACACAAACAAAGTGTGTATATTCCATCAAACCTTATAGGAAAGAACAAACCCTAATTGGTTCCTGTGGCTAAATTGTTCCTGGGTGACCCCCAACTCTGACATTTTGGGGTTACTAACTGACCTAAATTTAAAAGGTGTGGTGCTAGGAATGTAGCTCAGTCAGTAGAATGTGTGCCTAGCGTGCACAAGGCTGTGGGCTCAATCTCCACGAGAGCACACAACAAAATTAAACAAAACAAAGTAAACATCAGGACAGGGTGAAAGAGGAAAGAAAGGAAGGAAGGAAGGGAGGAAGGGAGGAAGGAAGGAAGGAAGGAAGGAAAAAAGAGAAAGAAAAAGAAAGATCTGATGATGCCATTCTGAATAAGCTTCCATTCTAGAGGAAATGCCCATTGATAAAAATCTGACTTCTGTGAGATTATGGAAAGGGATCATCATGCCAGTTTCATGAGCTACATACCCAAACACAAGACTAGAGGAGGAGACTCAGTTTTGCATACTTGGTGTTTTCCTTCTCTCTCAAGATATTTCATTTGCTCAGATATAACTTAGGACTGATTTCAGGCACCTCCACAGACTTGGGCAAAAATACAAGCTGGAAGGGATCATTATGCCCTCTACATCATAGCTCTGGGCAGACTTACAGGATTTCAGTGTCCATTATCCACAGGTGCCAACACAATTTCATAGAAAATGGATCCAGACATTAATGGACTGACACCCCTCCGCTCTAGGTGGTAAGGCTTTATTAGACTTACTTTAGATTAAGAAATCAAAGTGAAGAGAAGGTAATTGAGTAGAGTTTCACAGGGTAGCAGGTGTGAATAAAGACAGTAATATCTAGAATTGAGGATTTACTATATGCCCAAGCATTGTATTAAATGCTTTGCAAATACTAACTCATTTAGATATAGATAGCTGCTATAACTTGGAATTTATTCTATTTCTCCTGCTAGAAAACAGACACAAAAAGATTAAGTAATTCATGTTTATAGGGTCAGTGAACAATAGAAGCAGAATTTGATTCTAGGATGCACTCAACCACCCTCTAGAACTCAGAACTGGGCTTCCTGCCCTCATGGGACACTACACATGGCTGAGCCTTGAAATACAAAGGTGATAGACTCTTAGAATCTGAGAAACCCTTTCTCCTTTACGATGACATGGAGACAGACTTCACAAAAAGTTACTGACAGAATGATTTATGTTGCTAGAACTTTTGGGCAAATTATCTAAATTTTCTTTTAAATGCTTAGTAATTATATAATTTAAACAATTAAATTATTATCCAAAATTAATTTAAATTATTTACTTAGGAAAATTATTACAGAAAAGTCCGAAATGAAGGCACAATGAGAGAAACTTCCAGCAGAGGAGTTTCTAAGAGAGGAAAATGTCATTGAATTTTCTTTGTCTAGAAGATTTGTAGGGCCATGGCAGAAAATGGATAGAGGATGAGGTAATCTCTGCTGAGATTAGTTAATTTTCTGGGTTTTCAAGGACTAAGCCAATGGTGGGCCTGGACTCATTATGCCTGTACCCATGGCCCAACTAGGGAGATGATTACTTACTGCTGATGGACTGCCTACCCAGTCAGGGGTAGACAACTCCTCTCTCTGTCCATCCCTGACTCCAGCTTTGACCTTGCCCATCTGGTACCTGTTAGTCGCTTGACCAATGTTACTACCTTCAGATTTTGCAAATATCTCACGGCTGTCAATTACACTAGACTTTCTTTGTTCTCTCATTTATATGACCAGCTTGCAGCTTTACCAAGGCAGAAAGCCAACTCCATCCCAGCCACTAAAATGTAGTTGCAGTCTTTCTTGGTTACCTCATTTTTAGCTCCTTACAGAGTGGTCTGAGGTGGTCTACCAGCAGGAACCTTCTAGTTAGAAGCTATCCTTCCTTACCTGTCACAATCAGCTCCGTTAGGAGCGAGAATTTACAAAAGGACAATACCAAGTTGCGTCATTCCTCAGGGGCTTCCGAGGGGGGTCTGCTAGGCTGCTGTCAGTAGCCCAGAGCTCTGTCCTGCTTCTTCTTTTCTGTCTAGCCTGGTTATCTCATACCCAGCTCTTAGACCTCTTCTTCTTTATCTTCTTTAGGCTTTGCCACGTTAACCTTTAATCTTCCTTTCAATTCTGACCTCTGTTCTCACTATTACTTGTGTGAGCAACTTGCACTGTCTGTGATGGGTCCCTTTCCATTACAATGCACAGAGAACTTTCTGTCTCCTGGATCACTATGAAGGAAGGTAAAATAATGGGCAAGGGTAAGCTGTGTTGAGTCCAGAGAGTATCTTTTAGTTCACCAAATGAATGTTGACCTGATGTAATATTAGGAAAGTGGAGGGAATGCCTTTATGACATCTAAAATTATGAAGTTTTATCTAAAAGGATCATAGGATTATGGAAGGATATGTGTATATCTGAGGCTGAATTGGACCTTGGAAAATTACAAGTGAAATATCTTGACCTCATTTTAAAGATGAAGACACTTGAAGTCAAGAGGAGTTAAACTGCCACCAGCTGATTCTGCACAAACAGCCTACCTAGAAGGGAAACGAGATTCCCTAGCTCGTGCCCACTTTGTAGCATGCTGCCCACAGCTGGGACAGGAGATCTTACCCTTCACTTCTCTCATCTTCTAATGCCTTCCTGCTACTTAATTCAGAATAAAGTGAACTAAACTTGAGAGTCACACTCATGTAAATTAAGCCAGAGACCTCCTTAGGCTTCTCCCAGGCTGGCAGCATCTGCACCGTCATCACTCCCCCTCCCCCCCCCAGCCCCACCCCTGCTAACTTACACCAGCCTCGGTAATAGCCATCAACTATTTCTGTTAATCAGTTGAACACACACACACACACACACACACAACAACAACAACAACAACAACAACAACAAACAAAAAAACAAAAACAAAACAAAACAAAACAAAAAAACCAGGTCATATAGCCAGGCTGTGGTGGTGCATGCCTTTAATTGGATCTCTGAGTTTGAGGCTTTCTTGGTTTACAGAGTAAGTTCAAGCACAGCCAGGGGCAACACAGAGAAAGAAACCCTGTCTTGAGAAAACAACAGACCAAACCAGCCACATGTTCACTTTGTAAGGATAAGTCCCAGTGATTAAGGCCTTTTCCTGTGAGCAGTGTAAAATATTTCCAAGACTGGTTCCACCATGGAAATGCATTAAATAGGGACAACAACATAAAAGAATAGGAAAGGAGAATGGTGAGACTGGCCATGCTGTGGACGTGGGAGAGAGCAGAGTGTGCATGATCTTTCTGCAAACAAGGGCTATGTGCAGTTAGAAGCATGGTTCTGGTTCCTAGGCGCCATCCAAGCTTGGCACCTAAGCCTGCTTCCTGGCCAGTGACATCGGCTCCCTGTGCTGTGGCTTTATCACCTGGAGTATGACAGTATTATGTCATGGGGATTGTGAAGATTACACAAACAGCTTGATATTCCCCTCCATGCCTGGTCAAAGTACTTCATGAGTACTTCAGGCTTTCACGGGAAAGAAACAACCTTTTTAGTGGCATCAACCCATATCTACCAGACTGGTTTTGTTTTGTTTCTGTCAATAGGAAACACATATATACTGATGAACCGACAGTCCAAGCAGGGAGTTGCTCCCTTTCAAGTCCCCATAATCCATGCATTTGGAAAGAGAGACCAAAGGTCTCCAAATGACTGTTTCATCCATACTTCACTGGACTCCAAAAGCCAATTCTTTCACGGGTTTCCTCTGAGTGTTTCAGGGCCTTCCAGGGTTGTATTTTCCTTCTCTTTTGCCTTTGGAGATAGTTTTCTCAGGTGACTCTACAGAAGGTCACTGAGTTCACTCTACTCTTTATATAATATTTCCTGGTTCAAGATAATTTTCAAACCAACTCAACCATTGCGGGGGTGGGGGGGTGGGGGGGTGGGGGGGTGTTAGGAGATATCTGTAGATTTGGATCGTCTTTCCATTCTTCCTCAAATGTCTGCTGAAGCACACAGATAGCAACTCTGCAACAAAAGTCATGCATCTGTGATTCCTAATTCCCCATCCTCACCTCACCATGGGAGCTCTGATACTTTTTTTTTTTTGTCATTCTGACAATTTATTAGACTTCAAAGGTGCTGTTTATTTACCATGTGAAAAGTAAGATCAAGCTGTCCATTACAAGGCTGGGAGGTTCTTGCTATCACATATTTCTAAGACTAGATTCATTGGGCCAGTGTCAAAGATTATCTGGAAAGGGGACTCACTGTTAATGCCAAATGAAATCACGGAAAAAGAATATCTGTGATTCCACTTGTGTGGCTGGTGGGAGGGGAAGCCACTAAGGTACAGACTTTTGTGGGCCATGTTTCTGAAGGATCTTGGGGTTTTCCAAAGCAAGGAGAGAGAGTTTGTTGTGCCACAGGAACACTATGATAGAAGGCATGCGGTCTGTGCAGAAACCATTCCAAAGTTACTTCTGGTAAAGTTACCAAGAGGGTCTGGAATCTAATAAACTACTTTTGCCTAAAGTGGCTTGTTTCTCCTCCTTCCCAAACAGCAACACCAGACATCTCTCTGCTGCTATAAGTAGGTATCTGTTTCTTCCCTTCCTTGATTCTTATATTCATTATTTAGTTACATATACAATTATGGATCTCATTAGGACATTCGCATAGATGTGTATGACT